CTGCAGCAACGGCGACGAAAACAAAATTACAAAGTAGACTGGACATAAAACACACACTTGAGGTGTCATTGTCTCCTTTTACCCCGAGATGGGACCGTCTGGTTGCAGAAAATCAAGCTCGGTGCTGTGGTGAGTCGTCATTTTCATGCACTTTGAATTTGCGTTGTATCGTATTTTGAAGGCATTAAACATTGCCATAGCGATCGGAGTGTTGCGGCCAGATTAGACGCTCCTTGTGTTTATTATTATATTTCGAAAACACCACAGTTTTCATGCAGCTCATACCATATTATTTCGTTGTATTATTTCCGCCACACCTTAAATGCCGGTCCCTGAAAATATTGTCTGACATAAACCGGTCCGTGGGGCAAAAAAGGTTGAGGGCCCCTGCCCTAGCGGATACTCCGTGAATTGCACCTTATTAAAAAATATTCATTCCAAGTATTTTATGCATTTTGTCACTTTTAAATGATTCTGCGGGCCTGATTGAACCTCCTTGAGGGCCGGTTCCAGCCCGCGGGCCGTATGTTCGACACTTGCTCTAAATTGTCCCTCAGTGTGAGTGTGAGCGCGATGCTTGTTCGTCTCTGGTGTGCCCTGCGATTGGCTGGCAACCAGTTCCAGGGTGTACCCCGCCTACTGCCCGAAGACAGCTGGGATTGGCTCCAGCACGCCCCGCGACCTTTGTGAGGGTAAAGCGGTTTAGTTAATGGATGATGGATGGAACGAAAATGTTTTTTTTTTTTCAATTTCATTTCATTGATTTTTATTCACTGAAATAAGAAGGGAAGACTAGGAACACTTGTCACATTCGCAGTACCATACTTTCCTGTTGTGAGTTCATCTTGAAGTGAGCCATTCGTGCGCAACTGTATCACGTGTGAAAGGAATGTTCAAGCGAGGTAATTGTCTTCTCGTCATAGGGGAGGAAATGAATAGAGGTTGGACGTTTTTATACACTTGCGCAGTCGTGTGTGACTGGAGAGTCGCCTTTTGTTGTGTATGTCCCTCAGAGACGTCCTTTAACGGTGATGTCAGAGCAGAGGGCTTTATGCAGAAGAAAGGTAACGTGTGTCTTGCGTTGTTGTTTTGTTTTTTTTTCCTGTGTTGTTTCCCGAAATATGTCTTTATTTCTTTTATAAATGTTTATAGCTGTATGTCAACATTGGATTGTGGCATTTTGTCTGCACGAAGTGTCGTAACTGCTTGACTGGCCGTGATTGTTTGCAAGTGATCTTTTGTGGCTGCCTAAAATATATTGTAGAGGGTTGATATACTTGGACTGTGCAAAGCGCTCATCGCACTCTTGTATGTCTGTGACGGTTTTGGACGTAGCAAAGCAATGAGATGTGGCGGACTTGGTCAGTGCATCTGGGCCGTCATGTTCCCCGCCGGACGCTCCCAAACTTCCACACGTGCTAGTCTGCGTCTCATGTATAAACGTCTGCCTGTTGACTTTTCTTTTTTTTCCAAGCCATACTGTACTCCCCTTATAGGAGTTCGGTCTGGGGTTAACCCCGTCTCGCTTCCATATGTTTTTCTTTTCATTTGTGAAAACTGGGCACCGCAAAAGGTCAACCGGCAGGCGCCCGTTCTGTATCCCCCCTGTTGGTCCTTGTTTGTCTGTGTCTCTCGGACGGCTGTTGTCTGTTCCATTTCCTTGCGCCTTGAGGTACGTTGGCAATGAAGCTATTCCGAATTTGATGCAATGATTCTCTTGACTGCAGCAAATAACAAAGTAAAGCCTCTGAATGTCCCTGACACAGGCAAGTCACATTACTTGGAAGGTGAGTCAGAATGTGAACACTGTTGCTTGTACACAGAGTTGGGTCTCGGGCGGGCCTGCTCACCCATCTCTTTTGTCCAAACGTGATTGTAAGCAAGCCATTCTGCACTTTCAGCCCACTCTGACGTAACAATGGGGCTAATTTACAAAATAACTGCCCCCACGCCGGGTTGCACACGATGCAATACGAACACAGCATGTTTCCTTACGTGTAATGTGTGTGATGTTTTTTTTAATTTGGTTACCTCCTTTGAGGAGCCATGTTATGTTTTTTTTTTGGGGTTGTATTTTTGCATGATTGGGGCGAATATTTCAATAGAAACTGAATCCGGAATTTCTGATCGCCTTTGTTAAGGGTTCGATGTTGTTCGAGGTCTGTACTCTCCAATTTTGTATGCTAAAGCATGCCCCCCCCTCGCCCCCCTCTCTTTGGTCATTTACCAAACATTACTGATGGTGGAGGCTCAAAGTAGGTGGATCTCGGCAATCAGACATCTGTGTGTCCATACATCACATTTGGACTAATGAGGTGCTTCAGAGGCCGAGAGGCAAAGAAAAGTGCTTGCACTGGGAGCTTGAAGGGGCCTCAAGGAGGCCAAATCAGTCGGCGAGCGGACTGACATCATCATGTCAGTCCGTCCGCGGTTGTCTGTGTGCTATGAGACTCGAAACGCCTCCTTGTAAACCGGAATATTTAGGTGAGCACTTTTTTTTTTTTTTTTTTTTTTTTTTTGTAATTTAAGACAAATTCATCCAATCAAAATGTGATCAAATGTTGAAAAGATCAGTGAGAATTTTATTCCGCGATGAAAATATGTCTGACTTTTTTCTTTGATTTCTTTTCCAGGTCCAGATAACGATCACAAGCCAAACTGTGAGCCGTCTGCGCCTGCTACAGCGGCAGAGGAGCCGTCCACCTCCCAGCCCCGAGCCGAGCATGAGACAAAGAACGTGACGGGCGAGCAGGCTGGCTCAAAGGTATGCAGCTCACCGTCAACCGGATGGTTGCTCACCAAATAAAAAAGTTGGCTTCAGGTTGAGCCATGTGTACATTTGCAATCCAGATTGTTTTTACATTAGTAGTCATGTTGTTGCTGATTTTGAGATCAATCTTAAAAGGCATTTTCCGCAGCCTTAAAAATACACTAACTGCACAGTAAGATAACTGTCTGTTTCTTTGGCAAGTGCAGCAAAAGACATAGAAAGGCTTCAAGTTTTACCTTTGCGAACATCAAAATTGTATTCAAAAATAAGAAATAAAAGACCGGACGTCCAAGAGACAACAGACAAAGGAGGAGGAACCCAAACTACAATCTGTACACTGTTAGAAAGAACAAAAATGGTCCAGATCTTAACAAAGGATGTAAAAGTTTACTGAGTTGGACATATGAACAATTAAATAAATAAACAGAAATATTGGTGCGCGATGTACATTGTGCTTCTGTCCTCATTAGGGTGAGCTGGAGCCGATCCCAATCGACTTTGCTTGGATTTATGAAGGGGATTTAACGCATGTCGCATCATCTGAATTTGGCAGCACAATCGATTTAGCGCATCTGCTTCACCGTTCGAAGGGACGGATCGCTGAACAGGCATTTTTGTTTTTCCACAAAAATAAACTCACTCAAAATTTTTAGAGTATTGAGATTGCCATGCATGTTGTTCCAAATCCACCTGAAACTTTTACGACATTTTCTCTTCAGAGATGAAGAAGTGAACTTTTTTTCAATTAAATATTTGTGCGGATTCCATATCTGCCCTCGTTTTTGTTTGTTTTTTTGTTTTTTTTAATGAGCAGGTCAGGTTTTCATAATGTTTCGAGTAATATAACAACAATAATATATGTTGTATCATACTATATTTAGTAATATTTATCAGTTAAGGGTTAAATCAAGCATCAGGTGATTTTTTTTTCCTGAAACATCATAGCTATAATTTACAATGCTTGGTAAAATCCATAGTGCAAATTTTAATTGGTCAAACTTAAAAACAAAATATGAAGATTTTTCAAAGACCTAAGGTGCTAGATAAAAAAATAAGCATTTTAAAATTTGCATCAAAAGTACATTTCGGGACGCATAAATGCATCTCAGATTAAAAATTGTTGTTGGGCAGCGTAATTAGACCAGCTCACGTTGCAGGACACAAGACCCGGTGCAAGCGCAACTCAGCCATGTCTGCCATCTATACATTGGCAAAGCCGCTTTTATGCCGCAAAGAGCCAAAATCTGCTAATAATGATGCCCAGTGAAATGCATAGTGAAAAAAAAAAATCCCCTCAAGGGTTGCGGGCATGCTGGAGCCTATCCCAGCTGACTTCAGGCAGTAGGCGGGGGATACCCTGAACCCAATGTCAAGGCATAGATGAACAACCATTTGCGCTCACAATCAAACCAGTAGAAAATTTAGAGTGTTCAATTAACCTGCCATGCATGTTTTTGGAATGTGGGAGAAAACCGGAGTACCCGGAGAAAACCCACGCAGGTATGGAGAGAACATGCGAACTCCACACGGGGAGGCCAGAGCCGGAATCGAACCTCACACCTCTGTACTGTGAGGTGGAAATGCCAACCAGTCGACCAGTGTGCCACTCATGCATTAAAAAAAAAAAAAAAATCCTGATTCAAAAAATACTGATAAACCTCCAATTTACTGAGGTTGCCCCCCCCCAAACAAAAGCCAAAACAAAGGAAAAACACAAACAAAAAAATGTAAATAAACATTGATAAAACAATGTGAATGACAAAATTGATCCACTTTCATAGAGGAAACATTTTTAAAATCCATTCATCCATGATCTGAAGCGCTTTTCACCAGGGTCGCGGACCCATCTCTCCTCCCAATAAATAACTAAACTTATTTTGGGTGGAAAATGAATCTAGGGGCCAGTCAGAGTGTGGTCGGGGGTGGCTATTGGTTGCCTCTTCCTGCTCTAAACAATCCCGATGTGTGAATGTGAGTCCAAATGCTTGTTTGTCGATGTGCCTTGCGTTTGGCCGGCAACCGGTTCATGCCAAGTGACCGCTGTTCTCCCCCCAAAGCCAACCGCTATAGGCTCCAGCTCTCCTGTATCCCTCGTGACGATTAGCGGTCTAGAAAATAGATGTATGGATTAAGATTGTATTGGAAAATGTTGTCCATCACAAAGTGGAAATCCACTCATCAGCAACCCTCGGTGAATGCCTTTTGCGTGATTCACGGACGGTCAGAAATGTCTCTTGCCTGCAGGACAGCTCAAGCGGCCGAAGTGGCGATGAGAGCAGTGACGCAGATAGCAGTGTATCGAGTGAAACTGAGGATGATGATGGAGATGAGGAGGAAGAGGAGGAGAAGGAGCCCTTGTCTTTAGATTGGCCAGAAAGCAGACGCAAGCAGGCCACTTACCTCCTCCTGCTGCCCATCGTGTTCCCACTGTGGCTCACGCTGCCTGACGTCCGCAACCCGGTGTGTATATTCACCCTCCTCGCACGACACCTGTGATTCTTGACTACTGCGATGTGAGCGATTCGGGTGTGCTGCAGAAAATTAGTAGTCTTATGACTACTTAAATAACTGCACTAGTGTTTTGCAACACAAATCTCACGACACACTACAAAACTGTTCAACAACGTAAAGACTGAAATCATGTCAACAGAAAATTCGGGTCAGAGACGGCTTTGGGTCCCCAAACCTATTTTTGATGCGGATTTTAAAAAAATGTCTATTTATTTTATTTATTTATTTATTTTTGCTAGCACAAGTCTCTGAGATGTTTTCGTTTCTTGTTTTTAAGTTTTTTAT